CGATGTATTTTGAGATTATTTCATGCATTTGCTTTATTATGTCATTTGTCTTTTATTATGTTGTAATTATTTTTTATTTTTACCCCTTACTTAAAGGGATGTCGTATGTAAGCCCTGAGGGCATTGTTGTCTTTTTTTTTTTTTTTTGAGTCTTATGTAAGAGGCTATTTATAGCCCCTATGTTCTCTTTGATAATTAATGAATGATTATTTGAGAATTTTGTCTTCTTGCTTGGAATTCTTGATAGAGCTTGAGAGATCGGAGAGAGATCCCTTGGAGAGGGAGATTGGCGCATCACCCACCAACCTTGGAGATGGCCGGATTCGTGGTTTCATATCTTTGATTTCCCTTAACTCTATCTCCCACATTTTCTTCACGATCTTACTTCTCCCTAGTCGTTTCCTTCCACCCACCAAAACACCACCTATATCTCCATCTTGCCACCGGCCCCTTACCCGCCCCCATTCAAACCGCTAGCCTAGCCCTCTCCCATCCCGCATTGCCTACTTTGGATACTTCCTAATTTTGGATTGTCATAATTTAGTTGGTCTTTGAATTCAAATTTCCCCAAATTTGAAATTCAAATTCTTTCCTAAATTATAAAATTTTTAGGAAAGTTTTCAAATTTTCCCTCCTCTTGGTCTTTCCCTCCATCACCAACTTGCCATTAAACCTTTCCTAAAATAGTCTTTTATATTTTAGATAACTCTATTCATGAGTAAATTCAAATCTATTTGAATTTTAAATAGCTACCAAAATTATAATCCTATTTTGGGTAATTTCCTAATTCATAGCCTATTTAAATTTCAAATTAAATTGGATGAAATCTTTCATTCCAAATTTAATTTCTTAATCTAAGCATTGAATGCCTCCCCAATCCTCTCCTCCTACTCCCTATGCCGTCGACCCCATAGAGATCTCCTTTGAGATTGTTTCCTAAAATCACTTCACCCTTTTGGAAACAATTCCAAAATCTCTCCTTTTCCTGTGGCTGAAATTCCCCTTGCTCCCCACCTCCTTAAATCTTTCCAAAACCACTCCTCCCAAGTTGGAATTAAGCCTCAAGTTCCTCTCCCCTGCTGGCCAAAAATTCCCCAAGGCTCCTATACTGTTTTTCCTCTACAAATCCCTCCCAAACCCCATCCCACATGGGGTTTCCTGACCTCCAAGACTGCTGCCAGAAAATTCCTGCAACTATTCTTGGATTTTCGTTGGCTATAGGCTTTCAAAACTGCTGTCTTAAGGGGACAGCTTGTTGTCCAATAGTTCCCGCCGGCTCCTTACACCGTAGCTCCATCGGGGAAGCTTCTCCTTACCATCCAGCACTTCCCAACGTCAAAAACAGTGACTTCTCGCATGGATGGCTGACCCGGAAACAGAATACGGCCTCTCCTATGACAAACTTCTTCAACATCTCGACTACTTGTTTCCGGACTTTGACTAAGGTGAACTTCTCCCCCTCTTCAATTACCTTTCTAATCCCCTAATCTTGTAGGTGATGACGAATCCCAAGGAGCCGAGTTTCGCCTTATGCCTAAGCTTAGTAAACGTAGGATTTTGTTTCGCCATTACCAAAGCTTAGTAAACGTAGGATTGAGTGCACTTTATTTGTTCATAATCTTATTGTTAGATAAGGGATTTTTGTTGAAAGCTATTTACTTAGCATGATTGTTGAATTTCTAAGTTGTTTTGATTTTTCCAAGTGTTTGGCAAAAACGGCTTAGCCTAAATGTAGGCACCCCTCTCTTGTTTTATTTTATCGTTTGGATTGCTAATAATTTTTTTAATCTTACTTGTTTATTTCAAGAATTCGTGCACATTCTTTTACATTCATTTCTAAGCATATAGTTCTACATCACACTCACCGACACCTAATGCTCAAACCACAATGCCTACCATTTAGTACCTACTCTCGGTCACTTGTTGTACAATTGCATGCATGTATAAATTTTTACACTCTGATTATCTAAAGATCATTTTTGAACCCCATGACTTGCAAAATTCCTTTGAGTAATAAGAAACAAATTAATTGAGACCAACGCAGTGAATGTAGGTCTTAGGACCAAATCATTTTAACTATGTGCCCATGATTTCTTTCTTTTCTTTTTAGTTTTCTCTTACTTTTACTCGACATCATTCCCCAAAAAGCTTAAACTATATAGTTTTCTTTTTATCATTTTGAACTTATGAACAATTGTCACCATCTAATGCTAATCCAAATAGTCAAGAACTTTTGATGTTTACAACAATGGTTGAAAAAGGTTCAAAAACAAGCTTATGGTGTTATGCTCTCCAAACAAATGGTGTTGCAGCTGCTTTTGATCCCATGAAAACAAGGAAAAGACTAAAAGAAATTTGATATATCTAACAATTTTAGTTTGCATTAGCCCAAGATGAGAGACGTGCTTTTATAGGCCTAGTAAATTCTCTCTACTATGAATGAAAATGAGATAGGGGAGTAAATACGATAGCTCCCTAAAATTCCAACTATCATTGTCAAGGTGTCAACCAAGATCTTGGGAGTACAAAACTATGGTCAGGTTATAGCTCAAGGTGAAGTCAACAAGAATCAAAAGAAGATTTGCAATTGTCTGGTCCAATGGTCATACATGCTGCAAATACAAGAATTTTAAACGTAAATTGAATTATCGCACTTCTATTACAGTAGACTTATACAAGCACAATGTCTTGGAACCAGAAGAAAGTCCATTTCAACACTACAATCCATCATACCAAGAGTACTTTATGTTAGAATAAAAAATATCAATTTAGGAAAGTAATTTATATTAAGTGTAGTCCAATCATCTGATAATTCCTTAAAATAATATACTCATTCCTCTATTAAATAAAGGGATTCTCTAGTGAATAATACAGAAGCACGAGATTTATCCTATACCATGGTATCAAAATAATATTAGCCCAACTCTAATAGTCCTATGTGCATGAGCCCTACTCTGTAAGCCCTTGCATATGTATAAAACCTTCCCCTTCCCTCCTCTAATTATCCTACACCCAACGCATTGTGAGCCAAACCCACCCCACAATCGCACCTACACCCAAACCTAAGCCCTCCCCCCAATGCCCACTCATGCATTATGCATCCTCATCCACTCTTAAGCCCATACATCATCCCACATGATGATGCTACCATACACATGCTTAGTCATCATGAACCACATCTGTCATTACCACTAATGCACTCACCATCTCTTGTCTAAAACATAGGCACATTGTTTCCTACATCATCAATTCATCATTTTTTTTTACCTTAGATCTATGATTGCTTAAACTCTTCCTTGTCCCCTAATGAAACTCTTAGCCATAATTGGTACAATTATTAAACTCAATGGATCCAACCATCTTTTGTGATCAAGGGCCTTTCATTTTCTCATGGAATTTCAAGAGAAACTCAATCATCTCAATGTTACACCTCTTAAACAGATGAAAACTATCAAATCCATCAAATGGAAATCTTCTGATTATGTTTTTCTCACATCGATGCTCAACAACCCCGAATAAACTATTGCATCTACTATCATGTTTCAAAAGATTGCCAAAGGAACGTGAGACTTTCTCCATTCCACTTACTTTCAAGATAACATCTCTCAAATGATAAATCTCAGTAGGAGTATTATGACACCTTAAAAAGAAAACGGGATGAACTTATTCAATATGACTGATTTATGACTAATCCAACTACTTGGCTAAACCAAAAAAGATGTTTCATATTTTCAGGTGCCTCTTTGAACTTCATCCATCCCTAATATCTATTCAAGCTCAATTGATGGCAGACTTTATTCTCTTGAATATCTCCATTATCCTCTCTCAAGTTCACTAAGCCACTGAGTTATATGCTCCATCTTTAGATCATAATCATAATGCTATTACTGCTGTAAAAAAAGGGCAATCATAGTCATTGCAAACATGATGGTTGTGTACGTGATTGTGGACATGGCCATGGTCGTGGTTGCATTTGTGGCCGCAAATTTTTCTCAGCTTGTTAATATTGTCGAAGAACAAATCACTCGTTTAACTACTGTTAGAGAAAAGTTAATATCCTTCAACAACTCTGCATATATCAAATATTAGCCCTATTCCAACTAACTCCATGCATTCTCTTTCAGTTTAAATTACCATTTCCTAGGAAGGCTATAACATCCTTCTACAACACTCCTAGTTGACTATTTCAACCTCACAAGTTGTTTGCTCCTCTAACTTAGCTAAAGTTGATCATTACAATACGTCTCAGATTTTAGATTTTAAAGCTTATTCTAATATGGTAAGTAGCCAACAATTATTTTCATTACTTACCTGTTACCATGTTTATTCCCCCTATTATTATTGCTGATGGCTCTCTTCATTACTTACCATATTTATTCCCCTATTATTATTGTTGATGGCTCTCTTCTCTAATCTCTAGAAAAGGATATATCTATCCCTCCTCTTTAACATTAAATAATATTTTATGTATTATCCTTCCTTTAAATTTTTGTCTATGCATTACCTCACCAAATTCCACACAGTTGTTTGATGAACTTTAATCCATCTTAAAATCTTTGGTGGAGGAATTGAAGATGGAGGCATTTACGCTCTCATTGATTATCCTCCTATATTTCCCATTAATAGTGGCACTATTGATGGGATCATGCACTACCTCACCACGTTGACCTCGATATCTACTCCATAATTTATCCTAATCAAATGTGACATAAGCAACAAATAACAGAACTTCTACATAAACAACAAATCCATTGTACTATTGCCACAAGTGTGGCATTGAAAATCCTAATAAGATGCACCTAACATACAAAATCATGCGGGAGATGAGGAAAACGACATCACATCTACATAATAAGACCTTTAGTTTTTTGCATACAACAGAACTTCCTAATTACATATTTATACGGTAGTAATAAACACCGACTTTCCCTTTTTGTGTTCCACTTAGCAAAAAAGTGCAAGATTAATCAAAGGCATAAATAAGCACACAGAAAACTGACACCATCCAGGGACTGAGATGAAGTTGGTTCGGCCACCAGTTTCCTCAGAGACTCCTGATCAGAGCCCTAAGCATGTCAACAAAAACGTTATCTTAGGAAAATCAAGTTAAATTTCTAACCAGATAAAATCTAAAAGCAACGAAATAGGAGTTCTAGGGACCTTCAATGAAAAGAAACCCTTAATTTCCTCCACTGTACCGAGTGGGTGGGAGTTAGCATAGCAGTTCAAATGATGCCATCTCACCGAGTCAAATCCTCTAGGGTCCTTGGTCGAGAATCCCATCCTAAGGGAACCAGCAGTTATGTTCTTGCTGCAGATTTTGCACGAGGATCGGCTGGATTTCGCGTACTCCACCAATACCTTCGACGCTGCCATCGAAGCCGGAATGTGGAGGAGCACAAGTTCCAGATGTTGGGATTTGGAAGAGTGGGAAGACGAGGAGCTAAGTACGAGAGGTATATCTAGGCGAAGTAAGAACTCGCCATTCCCTATAAAACGGGAGTGCATAGAAGGCGACTTTCGGGAGCATACGGGCAAAATTTGTAAGGAGCAAATAAATTTAAAATTAATTTAAATATTTTGAAATGTATTCATTAAAAAATTTATTAAATTATCTAAAAACAATAATATCTATTAATTCATTCATCAAAATGTGAATAAAAATATAATATATTATTATAGTAATTAACGTCTATCAAAACTAAGTTTTCTTCCTTCTTTCTCCTCTCTTCTCAATTTTCCCAAACCCTTCTCTATTGCACGAAAATGAAAGGAAAAAATGGGATTAAAGTCATTTAATTAATTTATTATGCTTCTAAATTGGTTTATATAATAATAATATTCTAATCAATTTCTAGTATAAATTTATAAAAATTCTTTTACGAATTCCAAAATTTATAAAAAAAATTCATAAAATAGCTTTTTTATTTAGATAATGTTGGTTAAATTTATTTACAAAACAGATATCTAACGGTCTCGAAACCCCCGCTTGTACCGACAGGTGCAAATTTCTTAAAAAATTTCACCTTCGCCCAATAATTATGAAAGAACTAGTGACACTAAAATAGCTTAATAGATATGTTATGGCGAAAACAATTTGTGATTTGGACATATAATGACTCATGAATAATTTTTTCATTGTTGTAGATAAAAATATTTTTTTTCTAATTTTTTAATTATAAAACTCATCCTTTGCTGATGCTAACTGTTTTCCACTTAATTGCTCTCTCATTCTCTATAGCTCCTCCAATATTTGACTTTATTTCATCTGCATATATATGTCAGCTTGCAATTTTCAAGCATGCTTTGGCTCAATTGTGAGGGTAGCCATATGTTGGCTATACAAACTCTTCTAGTTGCTTCCTGAGAAGTTGGAACCACCAGAGAGCCATCCCTCATATGCGTAGGCTTGAAAGTCTAATCCATAAACTCTTCTCTTCTACATTCCACCTATCGTCTAGGATCAATGTGATAGTTAATATAATCTCCAGATTCCCCAGAGGATTCCTCACTTGCTTCATACTAGCTCTCTCAAAAGTTAACATAAGATTAATCAATTTATAATCAACACTTAAAATATTTCTCTTAAAATTATAAACTTATATACTCACATTAGCCTTCCTCGCTTGCTTGTCCACCTATTGCTGTTCCTTCTAGCAGTTGTGGGTATGACTTGCAACTTAACAGCGACTAGTTCTCTACTTAACATCTCTCTCTACAATATACATTCACAACTAAATAAATTATTAAATTTTGTTAAAATTCTTACCAAACATCACATGCGCTCAGTGTATCAAAACTAAGCCCCCAGTATGGAGGATGCAACCCATGCTCTGACGTTAGAAGCTTGTATATATTTATTCTAGTCCCTCCTATTAGTATAATCAGGGTTACCCCAAGCATTAATCAGGTTGGCCCATACACTCTCACCAATCCAAATAGTCGCTTTCCTGAATTCCTAATATCCATAAACATGTCTCGCAAGTGAGTCGATCTGTGCTTCTTAAATTTTTTTCTAATCTTGTCATTGTGTTGGGGCAACCAATAGAAATCTCTCTACATATAAAAAGTAAAACATATAACTTTTTATTAGCTTAATTAAAATGCATGCTCTTACTGATACTATTAATAATTAACCTCAAACTCCCTAAACCATATGTTGTGCACTTCCTTAGGGCTTTTCTTATAAAAAAACAAAAGGAGCATCAAACTTGCTCCATATGATATTCCTTGAAAAGTGTGTGGGTTGCTTTGAAAAATGAAACTTTCACAAAACATGCTAGGTGAAAAAAAAAACATTTCTCAAATTATCTTGGTAATGTTAAGAATGCAGTGCATATGTGTCACCCTTAGGCTTAATCAACATGCGCCCATTTAACATCTATTTAGTTACAACATGGGTGGAAAGTCCTCCTATAGAGGGGTGATGGGTAGTGGGCAGTAGAATGGTAGGGCATATGGTGGATATGGATAAGTTGAAGGGACTCTTTGAGAAGATAGAGGGGGTAATAGGAGTAAAAAGGAGTATTATGTGTGGGGTTTGGTGAAGAAAAGCGCATGTATGGTGAAGGAAACCAGGGTTTGGAAAGTAAAACTAAGGATTCTTAGCTAGAGGAGTAGGTAAAGTCAGGCTTGTCTTGATTTTGAGTGGCAGGCGGAGAAGAAGAGGTCCCTTCAATATTTTTGGACATACCGAATGAGCCACTAGTCACTTACTTGCTCCTACCAAAGATGTTCATAATCGACATTGTCTACCGAGGGGGTCATCACTAAAATCCATCTGCTAAAAATTAAAAATAAAAAGATTAGCTCTAAGAACTTATACAAAGAAATTACTATTATATTGTTAAAAAGAAATAATGCACTTAATATGAACTGTAACTATTGGTATATTGTAAAAACAAAGTAAAGCATCTATAAACAAAGTAAAGTAATTATTGTGATGCTCTTAAAAAAAATCATGCACTTAATATAAATTGTAACTACTTGTATGCTATAAAAATAAAGTTATGAATCTATAAACAAAATGAAGTGACTTATGTTATGTTGTTAAAAAGAAATCATGCACTAAATATAAAGTATAATTGTTGTTATGCTGTAAAAACAAAGTAAAACAACTACAAATGAAATGAAGTAACTATTGTTATGTTGTTAAAAAGAAATCATGCACTTAATATAAATTGTAACTATTGGTATTCTATAAAAGCAAATTAAACCAATTATAAATAAAATGAAGTAACTACTACATGCATTTCATACGTTTACCTTTTATTTACTAGTCATTGTTGATTCATTTACATCCGATGAGAGTACATCCTCATCACTATTTTCCTCAACGTCTAAGTCTATCTCCTCTAACTGCAACTCTCTCTTGTTAGTTACAATTTGATTATCGACATCGTATGCAATATATTTTAAGAAATTTCAAGCACCAATCGATTATACATCAAACAACTTTAATTCCTAATATCCATATTACACTTGAACAATGAAGACCTACACATAAATAAATCAAATCTTTTTCTCCATTTAATCATAAAAATACTACTTAATAGCATAGGGGGGTTCTTATAAGATAAATCAATTTTGTAATTTCTCCTATTATCAAATATTATCATCATTGGCTTTCAATGTGGATGAGATCCAAGAAGTTTTTGCTTATGTGTATAATAAAACATGTTTGAGCTTATCAATAATCTTTATCTTTAATATCTAGATTATAAAAGTGTTCAAATACATGGCTCTAAACATCGAATATACTTGATTGTCGTGATGCAACATTAGAGAAATTATGTTATGTCTAAATGCAATATGAAATGGTAGCATATACATATAAATAACAAAATAATTATGAAATAATTTATCCTACATATAATATGAAGTTATTAGAGATTATTTTTGCATTAATGATTTGGAGACACTATCTAAATATAGTTAGATATGAAGTTTTAAAACTCACTATGTTAAATGACTTAAACATAAGGTCCTTACAATCACTTTACAATATTCTATCATATACAATTAATCTAGGGTGTCACTATCCATTAGTAATAATTATGTTATAGTACACATAACAAATGATGAAACTTGTGAAATAGTTTTAGCGGAGATTGGTCATTAAACATTGATTTTGAATACTGAAATGGATGTTATTCACAATATAGAATGTGTTTCCTCTAAGCCAATACACATAAGTAACATTGACTCTATGGGTGAGGTTGTAACAACCCAAACTCTTAATGATCAAGATGTTGTCTGCTCTAACCTTAGGGCCTCATAGTTTTATCTTATTAGTGTAACTTCCCGGGAGGCCATCCATCTCAGAATTTTTCCATGAAATGTATGCTTAATTATGGAGTTTCTCAATGAAATTTCAATCATTACACCAAAAAGAACCTCGTTGTTTAAGAGTTTAGCTTATTTTACTTAAAGGATTTTGCATAACTTTTTTGTTTATGATAGATGTCGTTATATGAATATTTTGACAGGAATACATTAAATTTTCAACAGTCAAATTTGAAAGTTATGGATTCTTTTAAAGTAAATGCATATTACATAAATTCGATAGATTTTCTTATATTCTATGAATTACTGCATTTCATGCATGACATTGACAAAAATGTAGCATTTACATGTAAGTGAGGCTAGATGGAAGGCTGGTTGTTTACATGAAAGATGAAGATCAATACCGATTGGTTGACAGTTTGTTCTAATTAAATGGTATCAGAGCAATGCACCAGTCGGAAGGTGAGACCTAAGTGCATGCAAGACAAAGTGCTATGTCATGGGAGTCACCTCTTGAACCCTATATGGGATAAAGTGCTACGTGGCGAGAGCCACAACTTGAACTTATAGGAGCCACCTCTAGAATCCTATTTGCATATTGGATGATTCTGGGATAAGGATACTGATAAGGACGTCAGCTACTTGAGTGGAGGAGATTGTGAACCCCCCTTAAGTAAAAAAAAAAAAAACTAAACTAAACTCTTAAACATCGATGCGCATTTTTATATAATGGTTGGAGTTTTATTTAAGAAACTTTGTAGTTAAGAATGCTCATCCCAGAGAAATTCTAGAATGGGTGACCTCCTGAGAAGTTATACGAATAAGAGAAAACCGCGAAGCCCTTATGACAAAGCGGACAATATCTCGACAATTAAAAGTTTGGGCTGTTACAGAGGTAACATAAGGCCTTTCAAACTAGATGATAAAGAACATATAAATCAATCGATTATCATCCTGAACTAGATAACAATTTTTTGTACGCACAAAATCTTATAATTACTATATGCATTCACTCAACAAACCCACACTATCACATTTTAGCATTTTTCAATAAAAAAAATTGCAACGGATTTAAGACGTGCACAATTTATGGAGATATCCCATGAACAGTGGCCAAAACAGAAACTAGAGAGTAGATCAACATAGAAAACTTACAGAACAACGGTGAAGTGTGAGTAGAGAGGATGAACGATCATGGAGATGAAGTTGGAAGAAGTAAAGTCAACCGGAATAACTGATTGGAAGTAGTTGGACCGAGTGGCGAACATGTGAGGGCTTTTGCGTCAGAATTTTAATTTTTGTACTAAAAAATTGCTTTAATAAGCAGTAAGAAAGCCGTCTCAAACAAAGTCTTAATAAGTTTATAAAATGTATTATAAATAATTAAAAATTCAAAATGGTGTTTCATAGAATAAACCCAATAATAACTAATATAATCATCTCCCCTCCCCAAACATCAAAATTCAGAATAAACCAAGTGAAATTATGCCACAAAAGAAATACTTTTGTAGTATGGAAATGCAAAAAAAAAATTACTAATTTACAACCACTATAACAAAAATATATTGAACTTATTATTTTCCCAATGCTTATGTAGAAACTAAATATTTTAAATGAAATATTGAAACATGGCCCAAATGAGAATGCCATAAATAAAGAATTAGATAAATAAGACTTAAATAAAACAGAAGACAAATTAGAAATAGAAGTTGCAATATTTGATATTTTTTGTTGATCCAAAATAAATAACCTCTCTTGCCAATAACTTGTCCCCATCAACCTCTAGAAGTGTGAATCCTTTTATATAATAATTAGTGGATGAAATTGAAATAATTAAAAGCTCAGAATTGACCAATATAGACACTTCAAAAACAAGAAGAGAAACTTCTCCTACCAAATGAATGAGTTTAATGTCCTTAGCACCGCCAAGCTGTCCCTCCCCTCCAACTAACAATCAACTCATCGCAAAGTTAAATCCGGTGACTTCGGTTTGATTTGACATCGAACCTTTTTTTTGGGTGTATGAACCTCACTCAAATTTGGTTTGAACTGTAAACAGTATTGCTGAAGTCATAGGCATCATTTGGGACAGCTTTTTTATTACTTTTAAGACAATTTTTTAGTACAAAATTTCTTAGAAGCAGCAAAAAAATAAGTTATCAAAAGCTGTCCCAAACGAAGCCTAAGAAAAATCATCAGTGATGCATGAATGCTGATCAGCAAAATGGAAGCTTAAAATTAAAACAGGTTCAGAGGGAAGGAAACTTAATTATTGTGCACTCATAGTAGGAAGTTAAACCTGGTAGAAATCATAGAATCAATTTACAGATGACTAAGCTATTGTAACAAGCAATTTTCTATATGTATAATCCTAAATATAATATATGCAAAAAATAATCTCCCCAAATATGCTCTTATAGTATTTTGATTCAACAACAATGATAAATTCTTTGGCACTAAGCATGTGGCATATATAGAATTAAAAGACCAACAAAACATAAGGAAAAAATAGTTCCTCCTTACAGAACTAAGGAAGGTTTTAAAAAGGATGAGAATACAAGACAAGGCTAGCTTCTCAAGCAATCTGTAATTCCATGGCTATGTCAGCCATGGGTGTTGAGCGCCTCCCACACCAAATTCCTTGCAGCCAAATTGTCAAGATTACGTGCTTGCAGTGCTGCATTCCTCAGAGTTGCCACAGTCATCCTGTTTGCTTCCATGAAACTGACGCTCGAGTACTGTAACTTATGCTTCTTACAAAGCTCCTTCACAAGAGGAACAATTCTCCGAAGATGGCACCTTGGCAAGCGAGGAAACAAATGGTGCTCCACCTGAAACTGTAATCCGCCATGAAACCAATCCATCCAAGGAGAACAAGAAATGTCAAGGGTTCCCATTGTCTGCTTCTCGAACCAGTCATTCCCCTGTGGCTGACCAACATAAACACTGGAAGAGAAATGGCTGAGACAGAACTGAACATGCTGAAGACCTGTAACTACAAAGCTGGCAACAACAAACATAGCCCTTTCGCCCCAATTCGGAAGGAATGAAATAAGGTAAGGGTACCAAATCCAGAACACGATCACCCCAACAATCTCCTGCCATCGTGAGGGGACCTTCTTCTTTGAGAGGAGGAGGACTATGGATTGAGCAAAAAGATTTAATCTTGCGAAGCACATTACAGGGTAGAAGGTTAAATGCTGGTAGCTGACCATGAACCTTGCAATGGAATCAAAGGTCATCGTTCTTTCGTAGAAGTAGGAAGTCAGGGAGTTGAATAACTTAGAGGAGACGGCGAAGAGGGGAATATGTTGCAAATCTGGATCAAAATCGAGACTATTGCAGGCTATATGATGGGCATTGTGTGTTCTCTTCCACCATGCAATACTTATTCCGGTGAGGCAATTTCCTGTGACGATTTGGGCCAATCGATTCAAGTTCGGGTTGAGCATGACGTTATAATGGCCGGAATCATGCCCTACCCATCCAGATTGGATCCATAGAAAACCCATAATCCCGCCGGCGGCAAGGTGGGCCCAGAGGCTGGTTGCGCATACTACCAAGTAGACGGAGGTGAAGAACAGGGCGAACATAAAACAGAAAGAGAATAAAACCCCATGCCCCTTTTCTTCGAAGAAACCGAGCTTTGTGAACTCGGCGACAAGGCGGCGGTAATCCTTAGATACTTCGGAAGTTTGGTAGTCGGATAAGTAATATCCGACGAAGAATCGATCAAGAAGCTTCCAGGCCGGGGCTGGATGGTGAGCGACGAAGGCGTCGGTGACGTCCTGGCCGGCGAGATCGAGGAGCGGGATTTCGCCGCCGGGATGGTCTTTGACCCAAGTGGTTACATCGTACACCTTGCCCTGGATCGATATCCAAAGATCCGACGGGTCTTTGTGCTTCTTGAGTTCCTCCGACGAAAGGTACTTCCTTTGCTCCGTTTCCATAACCATTGCACCGGAAGAAACGGCTTGGCAGCCCTGTTTCCTTCGGCCAAAGAAGCAGAAAAGAAAACCTAGCTCTCCTTCCCTTACGAAATGGAAAAGGAAAAAAAGACAGCGCCTTTTCTGGTGAATTTTAAAAACGATCATCATGTTATCTAAGTAAAGATAAAAGATATAATTAAATAAAATTTTATACAATATTAAAAATATAATTGAAATCAAAATTTTTACAAGAAATATAAGATCAAAGGAAAACTCATTTAAAAAAAAAATTTGTTAAAATTGAAAATTAAATTATGTTTTCTTTAGTAAACACAATTTAAATTTTGGTTTTCTGACAACAACAATATAAACAACATCATTTGTATCTCACTATATGGGGTCGGCAATATGAATCCTCAAATTTTCTCATTTAAATCTTATAAAAAAAAGCTCATTTCTAATATTGACTAATAGAGTCTTTTTAGGTCTACATCTACATTTCTTAACAAAAGCTACATCTACTCTTCTAACTGGATCATCAGCAGACCGATATTTTATGCAAGCAAACAATCTAAGTTGACTTTCTCTAATATTATCTGCCACTATAGCGACTCTAACATTTTTATGTATATGATCATTTCTCATTTTGTGTCTAAGAGTAAAGTCACTCATCTATCTGAGCATCCTCATATCAGCAACACTTAATTTTATGCTTCTCTTTTAATGACCAGCATTCTATGTTGTAAAGTATTGCAGCCTTGCAGATCTCACAACCATTTTATAAAAATTCTTCTTAAGTTTAAGTTGTACTTTTCTATCACACAAAAGGCTTGATATATTTTTGAGATTCCTATAGAAAATGCAAATTGAATTTTGAATTTCTTAAAAATCATATTTGAATTTGCATTTTCTATATAAAACATAATTTAATATAATGTTTAAATTTTATTATAATTAATGTTTAGTATAATATTCAAAAATTAAATATAATATAGTTTAATATTTAAAGAATAATTTAATATAATGTTTAGATAGTATAAATTTTATAGAGTAAATAGTTAATGAATTTACTGAAAAAAATTAGAATATTTTAGCATTTTTTAATATAATATAATATATATATTTATAATTGTTGCGGACTGGAACATTCAGGGTGGTAGAGAGATATAGAGTTTAGTATTCAAGCTTTGTACGAAGATCCAGTACACAAACATATAAAGAGAGAGAAGTACAAAAGTCATTAATGATCAAGATTTTTATGCAAAAACCCCTGAAAAGTGAAAAAAATATTGTGATTGACAAAATTAAAATGATTCTACTAATATTTATTGTTGATTACAAGTGATGCTCTTCCTTGGGATGAAGTCATTTGCTCGGTGTAGTAAATACACATCATATAGAGTACATTTACATGTTAGGAGTTGGAATAATTCAATAATAGAGAGTTGTTCTAAAAAAAGTGTTGGCTTATTTGTTTGGTTGGTAAGATTGTAGTCGGGCAATAGTCGTCGGAGGAATTGAAGATGATCGGAGGGACTGTAGTCGGTGGGCGACAAAGATCGAACGGACCATAGTTAGTAGGAGATGACAGTTAGAGGACCTTAGTCAGCGGGCGACAGTGATCTGATTGGATTGTAGTCGGCAAGCCAGGGTGGTCAGAGGGACATAGTAGGCGGGTGATGGTGGTCTGAGCGACTGTAGTCAATGGACGCGATCGAAGGTATTGTAGTCGATGGGCGACGGTGGTCGATGATTCCGTAGTTGGTGGAGCAACGGTGGACGGAGGGATTAGAATTTGTGGGCGATAGTGGTCGGAGGGAGCATAGTCAGTGGATAACAGAGGTTAGAGGTGTAAAACCCCTTAAGTAAAAGAAAGCTAACTCTTAAATATCGAGGCGCCTTTTGGTGTAATGACTGGATTTTTCGTAAGAAACTCCGCAGCTAAGTGTGCTCATCCCAGAGCAATTCTGGGATTGGTGACCTACTGGAAAGTTACACCAACAAGATAAAATCATGAGGCTCTTAGGCCAAAGTAGACAATATCTCGATAATTAAGAGTTTGAATTGTTATAAATTATATCAGAGTAATATACCAAACGGAAGATGGGAGCTAAGTGCCATACAAGATAAAATGTTACGCCATGGGAGCCACCTCTTGAACTTTGTATGGGACAAAGTGCTACATGACAGGAGCCACCACTTGAATTTGTAGGGGCAATCTCTAAAGTCCTATTTGCATGATGAATGATTCTAGGATACATATGCTGATGATGATGTTGGTTACTTAAGTGGGGGAAATTGTGAAACCCCTTAAGTAAAAGAAAGCTATCTCTTAAACATCGAGGCACCTTTTGGTGTAATTACTGAAATTTCTTTAAGAAACTTAGCAGTTAAGCATGCTCATCTCAGAGCAATTCTATGATGGGTGAGCTACTGGGAAATTAGACCAACATGAAAAAATTATGAGATTCTTTGGTCAAAATGGATAATATCTCGATAGTTAAGATCACTTAAGAGTTTGCGTGTAACAAATGATATTAGAGTAATATACCCGCTGGAAGATGGGAGCTAAGTTTCATACATGACAAAGTGTTACCTCATAGGAGCCACCTATTGAATCCTGTATGGGACAAAGTGCTACATACCGGGAGCCACCACTTGAACTTGTAGGGACCACCTTTAGAGTCCTAACTACCTTGTGGATGATTCTAGGATACAGATGCTGGCGAGGATGTCAGTTACTTAAATGGGGGAGATTGTGAAACCCCTTAAGTAAAAGAAAGCTAACTCTTAAACATCAAGATGCCTTTTGGTTTAATAGCTAAAATTTTTGTAAGAGACTCTGCAGTTAAGCGTGCTCATCCCATAGCAATTCTAGGATGGGTGACATACTGGAAAGTTACACCAACAGGATAAATCCGTGAGGCTCTTAGGCTAAAGAGGACAATATATCGATAGTTAAGAGTTTAGGTTGTTATAGGAGGGACCGTAGTTGGTTGGTGACGGTGGTCAGAGGTCCACCGGTGATCTGCAAACTAGCCGTGCTCCGTCGATTTGCAACCGAATGGTGGTCCGATCACGATCCGTGACTGGGCAGTGGTTCGACGGAAGTTCGCTGGTGGTTAAATTTGGTTAGAACTTTATGATCCTTATAGTCTTAGAGCTCTCCCCAAAGCCAAAGGCCCCCTTCATGAAGAGAGTATGGGCTTGTTTATAAATTTTTTTGAGTGACATGCTATATAAATATGGAGAAGATCCAGGCCAAATTCAGATTGCTACATCAAACGACTCACATTGATTCCCCTTATCTTAGAGCGTTCATTTATAATTTAAGTGTCATAATGACATCGGAAGTAATCTATCTTAAGCTCGTTGTATTCTTCTCATCGAGCCGCTCAATTAGACTATAAGCATGTTATATTTGGGACTTATTTGCTCTTCCAATTTATGATTTAAACCTTCCAAATGTGCTTCGACCCCCGATTTGGACCCATTTTGGCTCGGATTGGACAGATTTTGATGTCATCGGGTTCTTCTTACTAAGACTTTCAATTTGATCATGAGTTTGCTAAAATTGGAGTTTGGATGGTCCCTCATTTAATTTTAGAAGTTTCCAAGTTGAATACGCCTCAAGATTCATGCTCGATAAAGGCAATTTTTTGTGACGTATCAATAATAATAATATTTTATTACTTTTTAATATGTAATATAATATAAAATATATGTATAATCATCTTATTGAATTTATTATATGAGAATATTATTAACAGAATTCTGAATTCGAGTTGGATGATTGAGGCGAATGAATGCTTCAGGTCTCTTAAGTACTAGAACCCGTCAAACCTAATTGAAAACAATAATTAGAAAATTTTAAACAAATTATTATTTCATCATTGAAACACGTCATTGAGAATTGAGACCCCATTTCTTGGGAAAATTATTATGACCAGTGTCCGGATTCGTCCGGACACCAATCCAGACGAGCCACATCACCAAAATACATCGGGACCCAGTGTATTCGAGTGACATGGCGCGTCTGTATTGGGTGACCAGACGTAATGATTCTCCCATTTCTTGACACCTAATGACCCTTCATCGATGTGAAAGTTGGAGAGTGTAAGAGGAATTTAATGCAAGTTTTTTATCACAAAAACAAAATTTTAAGGACAGTCCACCATAATAGAAATAATTTGTCATAATTCAAAATCAATAATATATATCAAAATAACATTTTGATTTCTTTTTAAGCATATAACACAATATAATTATTTATATTTGCTATTTTTTATGAAGGTATCTTTCTTTACATTATCTTTCAAATACACTGTATTGAGTTATCTGTATTCAAAAGATAGCGCAATGATAACTCTTAACGTTTTTTGCTAGCTCAATTGATAAGGAGATCACCTTCCTAAGTTGACCAAAAGATTCACATAAAAATTTTGCTAAGAGGTCAACGAGCTGAAGATGGAGAGCTTCATGATGAGTAAGTTAGCTAATAGTTCAAAGAAGTGACACTTGAATGCATACTGTACTAGTTGGAAAAAAATTTTAGAACATGATGAGAATAAACTTGAAGGCTTGGAAAATAATGAAATGATTCGAAAATCAAAAACTTTTTCATAAAGTCAACCAATGATAGGAATATTAAGGGTATGTTTGGGACAACTTTCACATTGTTTTGCTTTTTAGATTATAACTACAGTTTCATTTTGGATGACTTTTTTATTGCTTATTAAACCAATTTTTAGTACAAATATTACATTTTTTGTACTAAAAAATTATTTTAAAAAGCAGTAGAAAAGCCATTCCAAACGAAGCCTATAATTCTATTTAGCTACTACTTTATAGTTGCTTTCAAATAAATGTTGTATTATGAAGTTGTTTTTTACAACAGCTTTTATTTTCCCAATAATAACTTCACGACTAATTTTATAAAACACTGCAACCGTCCCTAAGATGATGTTGATTTGCATTCCAAAGTGTAAGGCTTCGTTTGGGAATGTTTTTTTATTGTTTCTTAAAGCAACTTCCTGCTTTAAGAAGCAGAAAGAAAGCGGCCCCAAATGAAGCGTAAGTTATTCCACCATCATCTCTCCACACACAAATATACATTGATGAAAGATTACATTTTGGATTATAAGCCTTCTACAACTAAAGAGATGATTGAAGCTCCATTTCAACTAACTCCTTACAACTTCTTTATCTGATAGTCTACAAGAACCCTAGAGAAGTGATGTAGGAACATCTTAGCTTTTATTATGCTTGAGGACTAGTTTACCTTCCTTAGTCTAGATAGTTCTATTTTCTTCTTTAAATAGTTGACTAATTAATGTAAAGAATGAAGCTCATTGATGAATATTATCTCATTTTAAAGCTTTGAAGTTTTGTTTCCTCTTCTTCCCTAGATTGGGAGCAAAAATCCTTCTTGCAAGTCGAGTCTTCCAACGATCCACTACATCAAGAAGTCCACACCAACGCCAGCTTGGGCATGGAGTCAGAACCTTCCATGAATACCTTCCTCGATGACATAAAAAACTAAGGAAACATCATGGAGTATGTTAGGAAGGAGATTAGTTTACTTTGGTGGCTTCTTTGTCTTATAGGAGTCGATTCTCAAGAAGCAGCAATAGCCACTCTATCAGCTCTGGAGATGTCCATTTCTACTCTTTCTCTCCGTAACGACACATTGAACACAAGGGAAGAGCAGTGACAGTGAACACAAGGGAAGAGCAGTGACAGTGTCATGTTGTCCCATTGAATTCGGCTTTTTTTGGGACGACTTCCTTACTATTTTTTAAATTTTAATTTTTATATTACAAGGCGGCTTTAAGAAACAATAATAAAGCTGTCTCAAACGAAACCTTCAATAGACAGAGGGGACGGATTTGTATCAAATAAGGATTACAAGTCTTCCTTTGGAAGGGAACAAGGCTTTGTAAAATGCGTCATCTCTTCTAACATCAACCAAGGAGGCTGAGAAACGAGTTAAACTCTAATGAATATGATATTGAGCCTTTGATTTTTTTTAAATAGAAGTATAATATTTAGTGTTGCAGAGATGAGGATGCTCAGGTGGATGAGTGTCTTTATTCTCAAATACAGGATATAAAATAAGCATATACGTGAAAAGGTTGGAGTAACTCCACTAGCATATAAGATTAGAGAGAGTCGCCATAGATGGTTTGGTCCCATAAAACACCAGCCTTCCGTTGACCCAATTAGGAGAGTAGATGCATTAGATTTAACATGTGTTAAGACAGGTAGAGATAGATGTAAAAAGACTTTGTTAGAAAATAATATTAGAAATAATATTATTTTATTAGATCTAAATGAGAATTTAACTCTTGACCGAACACAATGGAGAAAAAAGATTCACGCAACTGACCCATATAGTAAAATAAAGGCTTGATGTTATTGTTGTTGTTCCATTATAAGTTGAGCCATATTCCATAAAATATATTGCACATAGTGATCATGGACAAGTGGATTTGAAGAAGATTATTCATAAATATTTGTGGTGAACTTGAGTTTTTTTTAATGAATACTTCAAAAGTCAACCCTTTAAAACATAGAAAAGATCATTAATATTTTTCTCGGTCATAGGTATGGTCGACAAAATTTTAATTAATTAGACGACAACAATAATAATAATAAAATATAACAATAATAATAATAATAATAACATCAAATAATAATAATAATAATAATAATAAAATTTTTAAAAAATTTAACCAACATAATACTATCAAATTTATAAGAAAAAATGTTTATCATTTATTCACGAAAAGGAAATATTCAAAACTTCGGGTGGATGAGCAAATAATATGAGATGGATCATATTAGGAAAAAATATATTTTTAAGGGGTATAGAATTTCAAAATTACCCTTCTTATACATTAAATTTTTTTTTTACTGGTAGACATTTGCCCACCTCACATGAGTGGGGCTACGCCCATGCCCCCACTGCCTCTCTCCGCTACAGATTGATTCGTCTCGTCCGAAGAATAATTATGATAAATTGGCATACCCATCAAAGAGAACCTGAGCATGAATGAATCAAATTAACGGTCTGTTTGGGATAATTTTATTATCGTTTTACTTTTCAAATAATAATCATAAATTTATTTGATTACTATTTTTTAACTATTACGGCTCTGTAAAGCTGAAGATAAAGTTTTTTTTTTTTTCAGTTATGGTAAAAAGTTGCTTCTTAGTACAATATTTTTCTTAAAAGTGATGAAAATAATGAAAAAAAAAATATCCAAAAAAATTTATGATTGAAGCAAAGAAACTGTCTTAAATGAAGACTAAAGCACTTTGGCAAAATCTTTTGCTTCCAGAAGTAATCAAATTGGCATTTTTTGGCTTAATATTTCTGCAGGATTCAAAGTAAGCCACATGGTTTCTACAAAGATAATAACACAGCCTTCAAGCAAACAAAAAGGTCATCAATGGCTTCCACCAGAACCACAAAAGCCGACAAGATCCATGAGAGTAGAATACAATGCCTCCAGAGACAAGTGTCCCAGAAATCTACGGTTTCTAAACTCGACATCCTCTGCTGCTAACTTTCCCTCTTCCATGGAACCATCATCAAAAACCAGCCACCACGAGATACAGCCATGGGTGTCCTCGGCATCCACATTAGCCACAAGCCCAAGAGTCTCCCCCTGCTCCAGATCAAAGTACAAGCACAGGAAGTCCCTGCTCACCTTCATACCAACAATCAGAGCTTCTTCATGAAGCCAGTCAATGACCTGGTTGGCAACCTGAAAAAAGAGAAATTAGGAGATGAAAGAGAGAAGCTGGGCTGGTTTTATATAGGAAAAGATACATGCAATTGGATAAAATTATATAATTTCATTGTTCAGTTAAGGCTTCGTTTGGGACGGCTTTCTTTCTGCCAGTTTTTTTAGTAGAAAAAAATTTTAGGAAGCAGTAAGAAAGATATCCCAAACAAAGCCTAAATTATATGTCAAAAGCTTATAATATTTGGTTAGCAAGCAGAAGGGATGATTATTCATTTATTCAGGTAGATTCAACAACACTTAGGTTTCGTTTGGGACGGCTTTCTTACGGCTTCTTAAAATAGCTTTTTAGTAAAAAAAATAAATTTTTTGTATTAAAAAGTAGATTTAAGCAGCAGTAAAAAAGCGCCCCAAACAAAGCCTTAATATCAAAAAACTATTTCTTTATATGATGTCCTGAAAGATGTTGAAATTGAAGATGTAAAGGATGAACAAGGTCAGCCATGCATACAGACGTTTGAGATACTATTAAGGTTTCGTTCGAGACAGCTTTTTTACTGTTTCTTAAAGCAGCTTTCGAGTACAAAAATGTTAACTTTTGTACAAAAAAGTTGTTTTAAGAAATAGTAAGAAAGCCGTCCCAAACGAATCCTAAGTCATTTCTTTTTCGCTGCATCAACAATGATGCTTTGAGACCAAACACAAATATTATCTAGCAAGACAAGAAAGAAGAACCATAAGCTACTTTTCAATTTCAGAAATTAAGGTGATAGGTGACAAGACCTAATCATGAAAGAACTATGAAATGAAAATCAGGCAGAAGTCTTAGCATCATATTCCATAACCATAAACATACCTGATGCAAAATAGCCACAGGAAGATCAACCAAATCACAACCATAACTGTTTATTGAGCAACTGTCACTGTAATCACCTCTTAATGAACCAACAAGCCCAGGAGTTCCTTCTCCACTCACATTAATCTGATCATCATTCACCACCACCTTAGTGTTAAACTGGGACCTAATCCCACTCTTCAAATCATTACTGCCTGATGGCTTAATCCTTCTGCTGGAGCGGAGAATTGATTGAGGAACCTTCAATGATAATGACCATGAAGATATCCGAGAATGCCAAGTAGGATGAGATAGCAAATGGAGATAAGGAATTCCTTCAACCTATGCGTTAGCAGAAAACAACACTGTGCAGTTCAGTTTCTTCCAAATGAAATGCAAAGAGTCAATGAGGTAAGGAGGACATACCAGACCTTCAAGCAAAGACAATACTTTCCTGGAAAAGATTCTGTGGGCAATTGTCATACAAAAATGACCTAAGAAATTACACCCATCATTACGTCTGTCTTTGGATTTTAAAAATACATCGTCATGAAAAAGATACTGCAAGAAAATTTCTAAACTGACTGGGTCTGGAAAATTGAGATAATTCCTGGTATAAGAATCAAAATTTTCATCCACTGCTGATAAACCTAATGAATCGGTACTGGAAATCCTATTTTCCCTAATCTGAGCCTGATTATTTGATTCAACCCTTCCAGTGGACTCTTCTTCAATGGATGGTAAGAGGCATAAGGACACAGAAGTTTCTTGACCAATTGATAAATGTAAGCGATCTTCTCGCATTGCTATCACATTAACTCCAGGTGAGGGATTATAGCTCTCATGATTTACCAGATCAAAAACCTGAAACCAAACATTGCTAATAAATATAAAGCATATCAACAACAACATTACAAATTACAAAAGAAAAGGGGAAAAAAGGAAAAAGGAACAACAACAACAACATCATCATCATCAAGCCTTTATCCCACTACGTGGAGCCGGTTACATGAATCCTTTTTCTCCATTGTATCCCATTAAAAGTCATATTCTCGTTTAACTCTAATAAAGAAAGGTCATTCCTAATATTTTCTAACCAAGTCTTTTTAGGTCTGCCACTACCTTTCTTAACATAAATCAAATCTAATACCTCTACTTTCCTAACGGAGTCATCGGAAGGCTGTCGTTTTATGTGACCAAACCATCTAAGGCGACTCTCTCTAATCTTATCTTCTACCAGAGCTATTCCAACCTTTTCACATATATGTTCATTTCGTATCATATCTCTAAGGGTAAAGTCACTCATCCACCTGAGCATCCTCTTCTCTGCCACACTTAACTTAGTATTATGCTTCTCTTTTAATGGCCAACATTCCACACCAAAAGCAAGGGAAAAAAAAGGAAAAAAAAATAAAGGAAGGAAAGGGAGGAAGGAAAGGAAAAGGAAGGAAGGAGGAAGGAGGAAGGAGGAAGGAAACCAGGAAGGAAGGAAGGAAAGGAAGGAAACCAAAAGAAAAAAAAAAAAGAAGGAAAGGAAACCAAATCTACCTTTTAAATATACATCTTTTTTAAGTTAAAAAAAAAAGTACAAAGGAAACCACCTGCTCTTGAAAGATTGACTGATGTATTTCACGGAGAATTAGATGTGAATCTTTGACGCGTTCATTAACATTTTCATCTGTCAATACCTCTTTCTTGCCTTCCTGGGGATAAAGACCTGACTCCAGCATTTTCCCTTTAACAAAGCCCTTTTGCTTGCGTCTTGAATGGGATCCTGGAAATTCAACGGATAAAGAGCGGCACAACTTTGAAGGCAATTGTACGGTCAGAATTCCAGCAGGATCACGATCAATACGAACTGTAGATAAAGTCAATGACCTAGATGACAAAATCAAATCTGTCGTTGAGTTATCAAGAAGATCAATTGTGAAACTCTCGCTGCCTGGACCAGATAGTCCTATACGCTGTCTTTTCACTTTCCAGTTCTGTTGCAATCTATTTGTTAATTAAGGGCAAGGTCAAATTTTGTTGATTAATAGTAAAACACAATTAAAATGGGTAAGAAAACTACCTTATTAATGATCCATAAAATCTTGCTTCTCTTGTCACCTGCTGCTCCAAAGATTTAGAAGATTGTTTAAAGTATCTCCCAAGATGCTGCATATCAAACAATTACAAAAAAGGAAACTGTTAGCAGATGCACTAGTTCAGCTATTTGGGGAAGAAAGGTGCTCAGGAAAAAAGAAAAACTATTATCCAGCTATGCGCCAATGAAGTTAAGAAAATCCAGAAATAGAGAACACTATCTGTGGAGATTTAGAGAATCACTATAAACCTCTAGCAAGAACTATATAAAAATTTAGAGCCTATTACAGAGTTTACTAGTTGAATATTCTTCAATTCCGGTATTCAGTTAACACGCCATTTCCTACTTCTTATTTCCAATTAATCAACTAGACTGTAGTTTGCCATCAATTCCTACTTCATTTTAATCTGTCTGTGGTCTGGGTTCGTCTTTTAAATAAACGGTATTGTTAAATAAAGCGATCTCACCAAGTCAAGACTGAAGTGACAAAGGTAATCTGATATGCTTCTAATGTGCCTGTTCAGGACCGGCCCAAAGGCCGGTTCGGCGCTACTACAGGAGGCGGAATCCATCCACCTCCCTTGGCTTGGCCCGCCCATGGGGTGGGCCCCACTCCTCCATTGGATTTGAAAATTAAACAGAGGGGGCGGCTAGGGCTTGGGAGGGAAAATTGATTAGGAAAGATTTTGTACTAAAAAGGATGAGAGGGATTAGGGAGTTTTAATGTTTTGTTTGATTGCAAATTAGGGTTTCTTGACGTTTGGGCTCTAGACTTTTTTGTCTAGAGATTTGGGAGAGACGATCCTCCTCTCGAATTGAGGATCATTTGTATCTTGTTCCAATGTTTGTTTGGCTTTGTTTCTCTTATTGCAATCTATCGTTTTGGGGCTGAATTCGCCCAGATTTTGCATTATTCTCACTGTTTTCTCCAATTAGTGATAGGTTTGCTTGCGAACTCAAGTATTTCCTATCAGCTTCCTCTTTCTTCTCACTCACTTGTCTCTCTCTTCTCTTATTGGCTATCATATTATAAGAACTCAATAGAGCGGTCGGACCAAGTCATAAAGTCAATAGAACCCTATTATAGAGTATGCATATGCTGGTATAAAAATTCCTATTATTCATCTTCTGGGAAACTGAATTTGGAATATTGCCGTAAACCCTAAGGGAATAGGACAAAAATCACTAAACAATTGAACCACTGAATTATTTAAAAAACATATGAAATGTTTGAATAAAGTAAATTACTTGCATGATTAAGCATCAACATGTAGAAACTATAAAGAAAAAAAAAATCATTTTTTTTTTCATGTTATAAAGCTGTCAAATACACTTTCTCTGTGCAGACTTAAGCACCTCCTAACAAAAGTTAAGCATTAGTAACGTTACAAGTTTAAAACCTATAGGACTGCTTAGAAAAAATGTTAAGCAGGTATTCAAACAGAAGTTGTTGAAGCCCTCTACACAACAAAGGAAAATGAATAAATTTATGTGGAAGAAAAATTACACGAAGGCGTTGTAACTTTGTTGCTGCAGATACTGCAATATCGGACAAAGATTCATGAGGTAATTGCTTTGGCCTTTGCATCCCAGCAACTGTAACAGCATCATTTGCTTCAACCTAAAAAAGTATCTTCAAATAGAAAGAAAATGAGTGCTGACAAAAACCATGAAGCCCAATCATGTGACATAATTACATGTTTTACCACTTAAATAACGAAAGGCAAAGAGATGGCATATCTTTCAGCATATTGCAAAAAAAACCTATATAAGAATTACTAGAGCTAGCATGGGCCTTACCAAACCAGTTTATCCATCACTTGTAGAAAATAATTAATTGGCTTCCAGAAGAAAATGCAATGGATTTCAGGTTCATAGTATTCAAGATTAAAAACAACTTTTAACTTCCACAGGAATATGTTCGCATAAATAGATTTAAGCAGCTAAAGAAATAACATCGTAAAACACAACAACGTCTGACCTGGATAGATAACAAGACATTTTGTAACAAATGCCAGAATGTAGATCGACATTTTCATACATAGAATTAGAAATTTAGTACCAAATGTCAAAGGTATGAAAATAAATGATAGACTGACATTTTCTAAGAAATTTACCCATGCCCAAATGGTACTACACAACTTTATGAGTTTGGAAAATGGTTTTAAGTCTGCAGGTTTAGGATCAATTTTGGTGGAAATCAATCCTAATCCAGTTAATATTTTTCAATTTCAGATTGGTTTCAGTTTTAGGTTTGGGATTTCCGAGAGGAACTCAATAGTTTCAGTGAATTTTGGAATAAAACTCAAAGAGTTTCTGATGCAAGACTAAGTATGTTTTAAATGAATGCGATAAAAAATTGTAAGTTTTGAATAAGAGCAAATAACAATTAGACTGCTAGCCATTAAACGATGATAGAAAACAAAAGAGGGGTAGCTACGCTTAGGCCAAATCACATGCTAAGAACTTGAATCATCAAAGCAATTTATAATTTTCAACAAAATACAAATTAAGTATTTATTCAATAAAATATCTAAGTTAACATTGAGATTAGAACATAGAAAATCAAGAACTCAAATCCTACGTTTACTAAGCGAAGGCAGAGAGCTTGGCACGACTCCTTGTACTTGAATAACCACCTATAAGATCAGAGGATTTAAAAGATAAATTAATAGGGGAAGAAGTTCACAATTGTCGAGGACCGGAAACAGTTTGCCACTGAACGTTGGCAAACTGTTCTTTGACGGCTTCGGATAGTGTGAAGATGATTCAATCCAAATATTCTTCGACGGAGTTGTCGACTTCCGGGTTGACGTCAAAGAATATTGACCGAAGAATGTCGACGTTCCCTTGCTCGTTGTAAATGAATCCGGAGTCAAGATCGGGATCGGCCATTCATTAGTTTCGAAGGGTTGAAGTGTTGAAGACGATCACCGTTGATTCCCTTGAAGACTCCTCTTGAGAGAAAGAAGTTTCTCTCACGGATTGAAGTGGAGATTAGGGAGGGAAGTGGCCGGCCTAGTGGAGGAGGCTTAGGGAAATAGTAAGTTCATATTTTGATGGAGTTAGGGTTGAATTTGAGAGAGGATTTTGGAAGGAGATAATATGTTTTATGATTTATGTTTGTCATTTGTAGTTGAAGTTGTGTCTCTTAATTTGCAATCTTAGTGTTTATATTTATCTATATTGTAAGCAAAAAAATTTGTGACTTTGCAATATTTTCTTGTTGCATCACACCCGCACTGGAGGAAAGCTTTATCAATCAAATTCATGCTCTACAATCACAAGGTACCTGGACATTAGTGTCACATCATTCTGATCAAAATGTAATTAGCTGCAAATGAATTTTTAAACATAAACGCCACTCTGACGGATCTATTGCCATACACAAAGCTAGAACTGTAACTCAAGGTTATAAATAAGAATATGGTATTGACTACCTTGAAATATTTAGTCCAATGGCCAAATCCCCCACCATATGTTTATTTCTCATAATTGCTCTTCACTTCAGTTCGTCCATTTTAAAACTTGATGTTGCAAATACCTTTCTTCACGGTCCCTTACATGAGACTATCTATATGTCACAACTAAAATGCTAAAGATCCTCAGCATCCTGAATATGCTTATTTTTTAAAAAAGGCACTTTACAGTCTTAAGCAAGCTCCACGTCAATGGTATTATACGTTATCCTCATACTTATATCAACAAGGTTTACATAGCAGCTCCGCCGACACTTCATTCATGATATGTAGCAATCACAATATCAACATTTACATTCTGATCTATGTCGATGACATATTAATTACTGAAATGATCAACAAACTATCTCCAGCTTACTTTACAAACTAAATTTACGGTTTAATATAAGAAATTTGGGCTCACTTACTCAATTTCTTGGCATAGACGTCCACTTCTCTCATGCAGGTTACCACCTTTGACCTTTCTAAGCATTCTTACAATCTTGAACTGCTCCATAAGGCTAGTATGTCAAATTGCAAATCACTAACCAGTCTTCTACCATCCAAATTGCATGATGTTCCACAAACTGCATTTGAGAATCCAACCTTGTTTATGAAACTAGCAGGTTCACTACAATACCTGTCAACACATGCATCATCCAATAGACTCTCATTTCCAAATGCCCGAGCACATCCTTCAATACCTCAAAGGTACTCCTAATCATCGACTTCTTATTCAAAAGGATAACTAGTTGCCTGCCTTCTCTAATGCTGATTGGGTTGGTGATCATCATGATCGTAAGTCAACTACATGATTCTGCATTTTTCTTGGTCCCAATCTATGCGAATGTATTCATTCTCTGAAACATCACAAAAGCATTTCAGCTCTTTGCCAATTTCTCTGTTTTTTCTGCATATTAAGGTTTCTTCATATAATCGGACAGCATATTCAGAAGAGGTCCATCCAAGAGCCATTAAAAACTATAAGTATCTTCAACAAGACTATCCACCACAAACTCCATAAAAGTTAACAATTATCATCAAATGCAATTAAGCAACACTAGGAAAGAAAAGCTATAGGATTAGAACCCACGTTGCTCCAAAATCATCATATAGCTCTATAAATAGTGAATGCCTGAATGGTAAGTACATATAAAAAACAAACCGTGCTAATCAGATCAAGAATGATGGACAATTCCTGTTGGGCCAGCTGCAGATTCTCCACCAAGCTCTGCCACGGCCAAGCCTGGGTCCCCACTGCTTCCTTGGAGCTCTTCTGCTTCTTCGCGTCTCTCTCCATCACTTGAGAGAAATCAATACGGCGGATCATGTTGAGCCGCTTTTCCTCATAACCGATGTCTCTGCGTTGCAGAATGGAAACAACTTATAAAACAAAGTTTTTTTAATAAGCCGAAGGGAAAAGGAAGAAAATTCGATTCGCACGGAGGGAATTGTTCGTTTCCGGCCTCGTCTATGGCTTCCAGGCGCTTGATCGGGAGTTTGTCAAGATCGATCTTCAGTTTCCCGTCCATGGCTCTGCGCTCGATCAGGGAGGCAATACCGTAACCCTAGAGCAGCTCTACAGCGCTCGAGTATCGCCTGGAAGCTGGAAGTACCACGATGCACAGTTATTTAGGTTGGGCTCAAGCATTGAGCCAAGTAGCCCAGCACATCAACTTCCCTATTTCAAAATAAATTTTAAATATATTTTTTAAAATAATTAGTGTAACTACCTTATAAAAATTAATAAAAAAAATATGATAAAATTATATTTAATTTTACTTTTAAGATTCATTTCATATTTGTTTATGTCTCCAAGTAAGGATTTGTTTGGGATAACTTTCTTATTGTTTCTTAAAATAAATTTTTAATACAAATTTTTTTTTTTTACTAAAAAAACTGCTTTAAAAAGTTGTCCCAAACAAAATTAAGGCAACAAAGATCTTATTATTAATGAAATTGTTAAAAACAATTTTAAAAATACATTTTTTAAAGAATAAAAATACATGATACAATTATATAAAAAATTAATATGCATGAGCAATATATAATTATAAGAGTGAGCTTAATAAAATTCATTTACAAATATTATGCTCGATTAATATGACCTACGAGTTAGCTTGGGAAAATTTAATTTGAAGCACTTTATAATATATATAATAGATTGAATATTATTGTTATTTGTTTTCTTAGAACAAAAATTTTAAATTTTGTTCCGAATAAAATTATTCCTCTAGCATTTATAGACTTCTCATGAAAGTCTATTGTATATGAAATTGATTAAAATAGGTTCGAATTTTGAACATGATTCGAATGTTCATTTGAATGTCATTTGAATATGGTTTAAACCACATTCTCGTCATTCTAAAACAAATTTTGTATTCTCTACAAACTATATTCCTTTGCATCTCATCAGTCTTGCGATGTCTTCCCTATGGCTTCCTCTTATTTTTTAGACAATGACAATCCTATAATGTCTTTCTTATGAACTCTTCTTCTTTGCACGGTACCTGCCCATGATGCCTTCCCTTGTGAGTTCCATCACATATGTTGTATTTCATTGAAAGATATGAAAAATCATGTCAATTATCGCACTATTGTTAATAGAGAACTTCTAATTAAGACTAATCGTTAGAAAGGTATTAAGTATTTAGTGCATCAAAGTAGGACATTGATTTTAGGATTGAATGAAATTTACTATCATTTTGCTTAAAGCAAAGGGTGGCAGAATGATAATGAATCAATCAGTATCTTTTAGTTATGTGATTTTGAATTGTAATTATTCATTGTTTTCTTAGTAAGTAAAGGCAGTCAATCCAACTTGATTGAATGATCTTTATCGACAACTATGAGTTGCATTGTCCAAAGGATATTGTATACTTAGGGTGGATATATATTTAAGGCACAATTTTAAGTGAACTTTAGTTAATGGATGGCTTTATGCCATACCAAGTGTATCATGTAATTCACCACTCAAGAATTTAGTGTCTTTGGAGAACTAATGTATCAAGTATAAGAAAATGAGTGTGACTAATTACTGAGTTTTGCTTTAAATTTAAATAATCAAATTCACTTGATTTTTTTTTGCAAAAAAAAAAAAAAACTTTTTTATATTATTATCAGAATATAGGCTTGAAGTAATTTATTTTTGACATTCGATATCATTTTTTTAAATAATGTAATCTCTGGTTGAGATTGTCAATCAACATGACCATCAACGGAGTGCCTATTTGAAATTTTATTTGTCAAATTGAGAGTTTGATTTGTTATAATGAACTCCTTTGATTACCATGTGTAAATGATTGCGCCCATCATAGGAGTTTATATTAAAATTTGGTGCTTGAAGCTTCTTAATGCCATCCACTTGCTCATAGAAGGTCAAGTCTAAATATTAACTTTATGAAGTGCAATATAAGCGATGGCCTAGAGAGTCAGTATATTTAAAATGAATTTTCTTTGTAAGAGGCCTTCAAAGGCTATTGCTAGCACAAAATAAAAGATTTTCATCAATTTTACAATTGAATGCTCATTTTTTAATGTACTTAATCAAAAAGAGAGTAGGATTTAAAATGGTTCTTTTATAAAAACCTATTTGACATTTATTGTTCGAGTATCCCTCATAGGGGTTTAAGTCTTATTATCATAATTTTTAATAAAAAAGAGGATCAAATTTAAAATATAGGACATATAGCTTAGCTTTATAGCCATAGCGGCCAGCTTGAGATTATCAAACAATGTATTGACAACTTTGATTTTAACACAAAGTGTCTGCTACGGCATTCATCTTATAAGGATGATATTGAATAAACATATTATAATCCTTGAACAATTTAAGCTATATCCTCTGTCTCAAATTCAGATCATTATGAGTAAAAATGTACTTCAAACTCTGATTATCAATGCATATCTTGCATCTGACTCCGTAAAAGTAATGCCTTCAGACTTTCGAACCAAATATAATAGTTTTTCTACATATCATGGGTCAGACAGTTCTTCTTGTGTGATTTTAACTACTGAGATGCACATGTAATAACTCTAATGTGTAGCATCAACAAGCATCAAGATCCTTTCAGCGGCATATTACTAAAAACTTGCTCGTATGTACCTAAATAAATAGTTAGAATCATAAAAGAAGTCAAACAATCTTTCAACATCTAAAAACTCTCATCATGGTACGGAGTTCACATGAGAGTTGTTGACTTTTGAGCCGCTCTCATAAATGATAAAGAAATTCGATAAAATCCATAAGCAAAATTTTTATAATAACCTACCAAGCCTAACAAATTACGCACCTCAAAAACTGTAGTAAATCTTAGCTAATCAGAAATAGCATGAACTTCTAGGGATCCACGAAAATACCTGCCCTGCTCACTACATGCCCCAGAGATAAAATATTATTAAACTATAATTCACACTTCAAGAATTTAACAAATAATTGATGTTATCTCAAAATCTTTAAAGCAGTTCTCAAGTGTGTTGCATGCTCATCTTCAGATATGGAATAAATTAGAATATCATCTATAAAGACTATAAAAAATTGCATATGGGGATTGCACGACTGCGGGGGAGGGCTAGTGCATGAAAGTGCGAGCGAGCGAGGGATCTGGTGCGGTCGTGCGATGCACCCTAATCAAATTTGAAAGTTGTTTTTTTTTTTTTTAATATTTTGATATACAATAACCAATGCTACCTAATTTATTTTATTAATATAAATACCAACATAAATAAAACTATCAATCAAAATATTAATATATATACATTTGTATTCATTTCCCCAAAAATCATGTACACTACTCAAGAATGGATTGTGGAGCATTTGTTATAGGTGGGGAAGTGGAGTAGCAAAGCGATCGACTAAGGGAGAAGGAGATAATTTGCTTTGTGCAGCTCAAGAAAGACATATAGGTAAGAAAGGGTAGAGGTTGGACAATGAGATTCTTTATTTATATATGATTGGACATGATAGAATATGAATACATTCAACACTACTAATGCAGAGGGGCACAAAAGTCTGACTTTTAGTGGTTTTAATGGGATTTAAAATAATTGATATATATATTTTTTTATAAATTTCACATTGTAATTGCATATAAATAAATTTTATGTTTTGCCTTCATCATGCAATAATTCAGGCAATATGAGTATTTATCATATGCATCTTTTGAAGTTTTGGATGCGACAATGCATTATGGTTTGTGAACCTATTGTGATTTCAAATTTGATCAAGATTTTCCAATCTTGATAATGACATAAATTAAAAAAATATTTAAAAATAGATCAAATCTAATTATTTTTAAATACGTAAAAAATAAACTAGAGTGTTGATTTTAAATAATTAAAATTTTTTCAATATATTTTTTTATTTCAGGTCAAATATAAATATTTTCAAATTTCTTATAATATTTTATATTTCTCTTCAAATCAAACAATTCATGACATTTAGAATTAGGGGCTATTTGACAACAAGCAAGATTTAGTAAATCCTGTAGATTCAGATTTAATAAATTTTGGGTTTGTTAAATCCTAAAAATTATTTGGCAAGATAGTTTTTAAATCCTCTGAAATCATTTGACAATGTAATACAGGATTTAAGCTGATTGATTTTTTAAAAAAAAATTTAACTTAATGTAATTTGAATTTAATTTACATGTTAAGTTTGAGTTACTCATTAATTTGAATTTTAATTACCATCAATAAGTTATAATGACAAAAAATATAATTAGAAGCTAGTTTAATTATCAAATAATTTAACTAACATTTTAATTACTAATTATAAAACTAAACTAATAAATATAAATTTTTTATTTGAATGTTAATATATGTTAATATAATAAATATTTGATTCTAATTATATTCATAATTATTTAATTAACTAGTTAATTATTTTTTAAATAAATAATTATTTAACTAATACTCACTACAAAAAAAATTGGCTATTAGGGCACCTTAAAGTGCCTTAATATGTAACTATTAGGGCACATAATATATTAGGGCATCAAACAATGGTGTCATTTAGGTGGCCGTTGGCATAGGGTTAAGGGCATTTTTATGTGCCCTAAAAACAAAACTTTCATGACATATAATTTTGATGGCATAATCTCTTTAACGACACTTATAAGGTGTCATAATAGACAAGCTTTTATAACACCTTCATATGATGAAAATTGTGAATAAATACAACAAATATTGTGTGTCATAATACGCTAACTTTCCTGACACATTTATCTGATGGAATATGTTTAATAATAAGGCACATTTATACTGCCCTAAGATATATGATTTCCCAACACTTTAATTCAATGAAGTAATTTTAATAAAATGATATTATTATATGCCTCAACATATGTTATATCCAATATGAATTACATTCAATTATTTATTAATTATGCTGACTCATAATAATTCAATTACAAATAATTAATCTCCAATCAAATTTTTAAAAATCTCATGTACATATAAGAGCTTACATAAGATATTTTTCTTCAAATAAAAAAATTATTTCATAAATATAAAATTACAAGAATTTTCCACTTAAATACAATAGAAATTCTACTTCAATCTTCATATAAGTAAATAATCAATCTATTACAATAAATATCTTCACAAAACATTACACAAAAATCTAAAAAAAATGGCCCTTATCATGAGGGTGGTTTCTTTACACAATAACAACCAAGTCTTAGGATCTCTGTTTTCACACTTCATTTTCATCCACTCCAGCCTATATTTGAAAAGACAATTTAGAATCTGCTTTGACATCGAGATGCACAACACCCTGGCAAAATGAGGAAAATAAACACATCTGAACTATGATGCCAAAAGTGCAAAGCTTTACTTCATATAGCTCACCTGCCTATATGCAAGCCTTCTAGTGCTTTAAACATATAAAAGCCATACCATTGGAGCTCAAACATTCCAATTCCTTTCTTCAAAATCTGAAATAAAATATTAACATTAGTATATTTATATTGTGCTGCATCATTATAACCTTTTGACCAAATGAATTATACCTCAACTCTATCATGCTCAACAAGTTCTAAAATAAAGCACTCTGACTCTTCATACTTAAAATAGCATTCATGCTTAATCATAAAGTCGATCCTCTGCATCAAAATAAACTGACTTTTCACGTGTTGATAGACATCTTAAAAAATTTAAACTACCCTCATTTATCAATAAGACAAATCCGTTACACGTTTCTCTGGCTTGAAAGATATATAGTCTGGATGTGCACGGTTCACAGAAAGTAATATAGTTTCTTTCTTGTGCTTGTCCTCCTTTGCCGATATCTACCAAATTGCTCAACCCATTTGATAATTGTTAGTTAGAATTCAAATAATAAAAACGAGTGGGCAACATGTTGAAAAACGTTTTAGATCAAATTCGTAGTTTATGAACTTATAACTTGAACGAAAACTCATATTTTTTAGAAAACTAGAAAACACCGTAATCACATATCACAGCTTGATAGAAAAAATGCAATTCAAACTAGAGGCATTAATTCACACTTCACGGCTACACAAAAAACCACACCATCTCAAATCACTGTCCAACTGAAGACCCATCAAAGTATCAAACTATAAATTAAACTAGCCAAACTTAAAGCCCAAAATTAGCTATAGATGTTGATTAAAAGCACAATTAAAACCCGGACAGAAAATCGATTGCTGAAGAACACTGAATCAACAGTAGTAGCAAACCAGATAGCCAACAACCAGGCCAATTGAATACCAACACAGCAGTACAAAGGCAGAACCAGGTATACGTCAGTTGAATCAGCTCGAAGCGGCACAAGAGCTGAAGCAGCATGGACGGACATTAAGTTTTTGTTTGGGACGGTTTTCTTACTACTTAAAGTTGCTTTTTAGTACAAAATTTTAATTTTTTGTACTAAAAAACGGTTTTAGAATTGAGGACGGAGTTCCAATTCTGTAGGTGTATGTCACTATCATTTTTATTATTTTTTTAAGATAATGTAATTAAGCTAAAATAACAAAACTAATGAAATGAGTATATATCAAGCGATTTGTGGAGAATTATTTTCTTTTTAAAATCAATATCCACAAAAAAAAAACACTCAAAGTTTGGCATTTCCACAATTTTACTTTTCACATTTATTTCTAATTATATATAAAGTTAATTGAATGAAGCATAAAAATAACACTCAAAGTCCAAAAACAAGTATTCAGTTTACAAGAAATGAATTCATGCAAAATAAACAAAAATCACCCAAAACCCACTTCATTAAATTTTGCTTTTAGAATTCAATTTCAACTACTTCCAAACAATTAGCTTGAAACAAACCAATCCAAAGTGCTCAAGAAAAAAAATGTAATGGAAATAATGTCTTACCAGTTGAGATGCCACAACTAAGAACACAAACTTTATCAAGTGGTGCCTGAGGATTGATCTTAGCAACGCAACCAGAATGAACTACAGTGTACTCACTGAAAGTTGAGGTTCCAAGAAAATGATAGACAGGCTTTCCATTAATCGAGAACCTTGATTCACCATCATTAATCATAACGCCCCTCTCTGTGTTGATTCTCAGTAGGGAGCACATATTGCTCTCCTCAGACTTGCAATGTTCACACTCTTTGCATTCTCCAGTAAAAACTGGAAGGACATGATCTCCAGGAGCAAGATCCGTCACGCCCTCGCCAATGCTCTCAACAATTCTAAGATCAATAAAATACAGAATAATAGTGTGAGAATTTTGTATACTTAACTGTATAATATGATATTGATCATGTTATTCAAGAAGCTCATGAGCTGAATGGATTTGAATATTTCATCTTACAAAGCAGCATAAGCTGTGAGCTTTTTTATATGTAGCAAATATTTTTTAACTGCAATACTATTTTGTATAACTGTAAATTAACAAAAATTAAAACTTTGGCTTGTCTATCTATATAATTTAATTGCATATACCAGACAAGCCTATCTTGTGATTAGGTTCGAAAAATCCCAAGTCAATGAATGAATCCCTCGGAATATAAATATGGCCTTATGTAAAATAAGTGAAGTATTGCATTACTTGTATGTATATAAATGCATAAAAAGGACATACTAAGTTGAAACATTAAGGCATGGATAAGCATAGAAGAGAAAGTTTGCTTCAAGATGCTAAGAACAATTGCTAACGCATAGAAAAGCCCAAGTAAGAAGAAACTTTGGGCCATTCCACTAAATAAATTGGCCATAGAAAAATGTGTTGTACAATTCTATAATATATCATATTGGAAGCTGAAATATAATTATAAAGCATCTGAAAAGAAAATTCCACCTTAGAGAAATATAAATAACATATGGACTAAGTTACAGTAGCTTAGCTAGTAAACAATTCTGATAGAGAATGCTTAAATAGTATTTCAAAGTCATGATATTTCTATTGCTTACCTTTTTTTTTATAGCCGATCATTCTAGTCGAGCTCGTTAGCTTCTGGTAGGCTCTCTGCACTATTGGCAAAGTAACAAAGAGAATTTGCAGAAGGGAGCAGGCGGAGTGGAAGAATGGAGATCTAGGGATGATCACTGGAATTCTAATGGATAACTGCTCTATCTTGGGTTCACCAACACAAGCGCTCCCTAAAATAATTCTCAAAAAAATGATAATAAGCTCAAATGATAACAGTTATCTCTTGATAAGCCTTCCCCTAAAAATCATCTCGTTACATCAATTATATGAAATCCTAAATAAACCAACTAAAATGAGGTCACAAACTGGAAATCATAGACCATTCGAACTTGAAGAAAGTACTCTAAAGATGGGAACATGTATTGGAACTCTAAGTCTAAAAATGAATACTTATTGTTAAGCAAAGCATCTGTCTCATTTAGTTCACGGTACCAGTGCTCGCGGCGGTCATCAGAGCAGTCTTGTAACCTTCCTCTGGATTATGACCAGGATGTTCCTTTCTCAAATGGAGATTCAGCTTATATTCATGAATGTAAGCTTTTTCACAACCAGCAAATGGACAGACATAAGGACGGTCTGAAGATGCAGAATTCAAGACAGGAGCCTTTGCAGCATTGTTGGGCTTTTCATGTGGCCTCAACTCCACCATGGCATCCTAAATGATTTCAATTAGAAATGGGCCTCATCATAAGACAAAGAATATGTGTTTGAAAGAATAAAGCTAACCAACTACATAGTCTCTTGCAAAGTCTGCATTTGATATCATGTTCTATAGGTTAGAAGGCAATACCTTTTCATGCTGCGTCTTTATATGACTGTTCAGTTTGCATTCATGTGTGTATCTTCGGCCACATTCAGGGTAAGGACAAACACTAGTTTTCTACTGATTGTGTTTTCATATGTGCCCTCAAGTTGAAGTCCAAAGAAAAGGCCTACATTAACAGCCAAAAAAATCAAAAATATAATAAAATTTTGAAAAATTATGTCTCAATTTGTGGAGTAACAGGGGCATAGCATTTGGCACACGCATGAGTGTCAACTTTCCATAATGGAACTAATGGTAAAATATCAGCTGAAGCCATAACTTCTTCTCTAAAAGACTCTCCTGCTGCTAGCTTAGCAAGTATGTTAGCCTTGGCCGCCTTCTTTGAAGTATCATTCCACTTGCCAAATCATGAATTATCTTCTTTGTCTCGTAATAAGACTTTGGTAGACGAATATCTTCAATTGCTTCCCTTAACAAGTCAAGCAACATATTAAATGATTTCTGAGTCCAATTTGACAGGCAACACAACCAAAACCATAAAAAGAGCAGGTATATCAGCTTCCCTTGGCTGGAGCATGTCCACCTGACATACTCATGTCCAAACTACACCAACTGCCTCTCAAAATGGCATTTGAAAAAGTTAGCGAAGTTAGTAATCTGCTCAAACTTAGGCTTCGTTTGGGACGACTTTTTTACTGCTTCTTAAAGCAGCTTGCTAACATAGCAAGTGTTAGCAAGCTGCTTTAAGAAGCAGTAAAAAAGTCATCTCAAATGAAGCCTTAGATGTCCTAATGGTATTCATTTATCTAAAGAGAACATAAATTACTTAAACATTCCACATAGTTAGCCACTACAAATCAACAACTAAAAAAAAAAGAAATAAAATGAAAATTTTCATAATAACTTGTGACCTAACTGCAAACAAAACTAGGTAAAATGAGATTAGTTAAACATTAATGCATGAAATAAAGGCAAAGCTTTCTCACTAATCTACCTTTAGGAAACTCATAAAACTGGAGAGTCAGTTCTTTGCGGATACACATTCTGAAAAGAAAGAGGATCAAACATCAGTAAGTGTAGACAAAGCTATGAAAACAGGACTGAGAAAGTATACATATAAAATCAAAGAAACTTACGGATCTTAGTGAATGAGCAATCATTGATGGAGAGAAACAAGGTCCAAATTTGGTCAATTATAGCCCTCGATAAGGTTCCAAAAAGAGGACGACAACCATAATTTTTGAAGTAGAATGCTTCAGCTCTCAGGACGAGGAACAGAAGAATTTTCATCCCAGCGTACCTACATCCATAGAGTTGGTGATCTATGCACAAAATACAAGCAACAAATAGGAGATCTTTATCCTTGTACCTTTAGGCATCTCCATTTTGAACCAGACCAACAATTACCTAGCTGTATTTTACTCTGCAATTTTATTGCATTTCTGGTATAGTGTACCGCCATACCTTTGCTCAGGGGCCTCTTCACCTTCAAACCTCATTTTGAACCTCATCCCAATTGAATGGTTGTTCTTGAGAGATTCCATGTACTGAGTACATGGAATGATGAAATCAGAAGGGCTTGTCCTGTTATATCTCATAGCCAGAAATGACAATCATTGTGAAGAATAGGTAAAGCAAAACAAGGAATAATGTTGAACCCGTCAGCATTATCATTTCAGCAAACAAGATTTATAGCTAGGAGAAAAACACCAGGTTAAACTCTAAGAACAACAAATATGGGATAAAGCAAAGGAAAGGTCTGTTGAAAAATCACTAGGTTCCTTGCCACTAATAAATTCAGATACATTCCTTCCAGGAAATACTTATAAAAAACAATTAGTTAGTAGAAGAACACCTGCACATCCCAGGTCAAATCCCCTATGATTGTAGAGGAAACTAGCCTATACCATAAGCAAATGACATAGAAAAACTATAGTATATGTAAGACTATCAACATATATATAAACAAATTTTATAGTATATGTAAGACTATTCAAATCCAAGTAAACTCATCAGAAATACTTCTTGATGCATATTAATCTTCTTCACGAACAACCTGAATTAAATTAATTACATACATATAAGTAATTTGATTATTTAATAAAAAATTTTAAAATTAAAAAATACTTACTAAAGCTTGAGGCCAGTCAACATCAGTTCCAATTGCATGTCCAATTGTTGTTAAAGTACTGTACGGTCTAATCAAGTGTTCTTCCCAATTCACAGGAATGTTTATATGAACTGAACACCAATTAGGACCTAATGGATAGTTACCAACCATATGTGTAGGATCCATACTTTGAACATATCCAATTGCCACAATTTTAGTAGAATCAAGAACACTTTTGACTGCAACTTTAGTTCCAACCTATACATATGAAGTTTATAAGTTCTAACTAAAATTTGTAATAACATTTGAAAGATTAAAATATGGCTCTATAAGTTCATAAGTAAATAGTTTGCTTACTTGAATATGAGCTACTAATCAAGTTAAAGAGTGTACATCAACCATTTTCAGAATATTGAGTTAGCTCTTAATTGAGGGTCTATTGAGGTAGCATGGCGTGTTACTTTTGAATCCAACTTCATTTTAGCAATTACCTCACTTGTTCTTGAACTTGTTTTTTCCAATTTTTCGAATGGCTTCCTGTTAACTTTCTATTAATCCGATAAGTGCACTTCGATTTTGGGATTTCTCCCATTGCAACATAAGAGGATTACACCAAATCCATCATGCGAACTCTTCGACCTTGTGTCATTGCCAGACCTTTGAAAAAATTCATCTTCTTCCAACATCTTCTGTTTGAGATGTTTGACTTTGTATTTCCTGTCAATTTTTTATCCTTAATATAATGAAATATTACCTCTTTCATGTAATTTTGTTATAATTTATAAATTAATTTATGAAATAGTTTTTTATAAAGTACTTACCAAGCTTCACAAAGCATCAATATTAATTAGTAATTCCTTCTTTTTGTGTAACACCTTTTTTCAAACATTTCAACTCTTGTTGGTGAGTGGCCTATTGCTTTTTTCTAAAAAAATTTAATAAAATATAAAAGTTAATTAAAATTAAAAGAATAATGACTTCAAAATTAAGTATAAACACACACTTTGATAGAAACATGTATATACCATATAAAATTTACCTGATCTTACGGCACTTACCAAAACATCCTTTGCCAGTTATGTGATCAATCTTTTTTTGACCTACTTCTTTTTATTTCGGTTCACTTATAACACTAACACAAAATGCGAAATAATAAAAAAAATATGATAATGAATAACACTTTAAAATTTACAAGTTATGATAATATACCTCTTGATTCTTCTTGAATTCAATAGAAAGAAGATATTTCCATTGATCTTTGAAGTATCCTTGTTTGGCAACATTACTAATTGTAATTCTGTAGGCTATATTTGGACATAATATCTGAGAATTTTAACGTCTGCTTTTTCCCAATCCTCCATTTCTTCCCAATTGATTGAAGAACCATACTCACTACCACGAGTTCAATCTTCAAATTTCTCCTGAAAAAAAAATAAAATATTTATTGTTAGATCAAAAGAATTTTGTTATTCTTTTGAATGTACTCTAAAATAAACAAATCTACTAGTAGACAATTATGAAGTAAATTACCTGAACAACTTCTATACATATTTTTTTTTAAAAGAATTTGGATTTGTGAATCCCAACTTCTGATATCAATAGGTGCATATTTCCCATTCCGAGAAATAGTTTTCCTAAAAACTCGACAAATAATGATTTATTTTTTCCAATAGGTTGACCATATATTTGTTTAAAATTACACAAACAGTGTTCTCCACCATGTTGCGGTAGCATGATATCCCCAAATACTTACACATATATGTGGACCTCTTTTTCGTTTTTGCTCCCTCATTGCTTGTACCTCTATGAAAAAAAATATTATTGAAATTAAAGGTCTTTAATAGTAAATAAATGTAAATGAAAAATAAACATATAAAGTTTTGATAAATATCTTAAATAAGAGCAAGTATCCGCACATAATTTTTCGGTTTGGTAATTTGTTGGAACATCTATTTCTAACTTCAGTTTTTGTTCTCTACATCCTTATTATCTAACATGTGTTCTGGTGTTGTTGGTGCCATTTCTTAAAAAAAATCATATAAAACTATACGTGAGTAGAGTTTAATAAGAATAAATAATGCAATTTTATAACCTCATGTTGCTCATTAATCTATGGAGAAAATTTAAAGATGTAATATATGTTCAAAAAACTATAAAGGTTAACTAAATAAACTAAATATCACCTTTAGATAAACAACACAAAAGAAACACATAAAACTACAACATGTCTATATAGTGATTTAGCAATTGATATTAAGATCTAATTTGGATATAAGTAAAAAACAAAAGTTATAACTTAACCAAGATAAACAACACACAAATAAATACTCTAGTAGTATGCATCAACTTCATCTCTAGATCCACTGAACTCATCATCAAAAAATCATTGTTGAGTAGAAGTCTCACTTTGCAAGTAGTCATCAACAATCCGTGCTTCTATGTTGAATTGTTATTTTTAATATCATTCTTTGGTGATGTTGTAACAACAGTACCATGTAGGTAAATAGGATCTTCCAAACCATAAAAAACTTGTTGGAACTTTGAAGAAGCAAAGCACAAAAAGGTTCTTGATGCCGTTTTAATTTTTATTAAAATTTGTGTAAGATAAGAAGCCATCCTCGTCCTCTTCAGTCCTTTCCTTTAGAAACTCCAAATCGCATTCAAACAAAACAACAACTTCGCTCTGCTGCTAATAGTCCCAATTCATGAATAGTATGTGTTTTAAAGATCCCATAGTAATGTCAAATATACCTGAAAATATGGTTATTATCTTTGAATACTAGAAGAAAGGCTAAATGAATAGAGCTTTAAATCATCACTCCAGCAATTTTGAGTTTTTTCTTTTTTTTCATCAAATCTGCAACATGAAATCTAAAAACCATTTATAAGAATACTTCTTGTATAGGTGACAACATTGGATGGACCTCTAGCTAAAGCGCTCAAATCAGTAGAAATTAGTATCATCCTTCAAATTGGATCAATTGAAGCAATCTATTAAAACAAAGTAGATGTAATTTAGTAAGAATTCTATGTAAATGTTAATTAGGCATTATAAACACTGAACCTTATTAGCAAACCAAAATCGAACTCACATTATGCACCTTTTAGGCTTTCACATGCCTCTCCATAGCGAGACCTTGTTTTGTTTATCATTTCTCTGACGTAAAGTGTTAATGTTCACGTGTATACATTAATCATAAAATTTAAGAATATAATAATCTATTTATTATTAAAAATAAAAAATATGTATTGTTCCAACTATTTTTTTTTACCTCACATATGGGCTCTA